TTGTGGGAAAATTCTACTACCAGTCCTTCATCACCTTACACGAAATAGGGTGAATACATCTCATTACCCATTCAGTCTTTATTTTTCTTACAGCACGCAGGTAGACATGGCTCACAGCGTTGGAAATATATTAGCAAATCCTCATTCTTTATGTCACGGCGACTAATCAAAATTTGGAACGTCAACGGCCAATCAGAAGTTGACATGGAAAACTAAATAAGGGTATATCAAAGGGATGAATACCAAAATGGTGGCCTTTTGTGTTGTCGTAGTTTCCTTTCGTTGTATAGAAGTTGTTTAACCTTGTTTTCGCAACTCGGTCATATTGGTAGGAAGACTTAGAGAAACGCACCTTGTCCGGAGTCCATTGTATGAATCATTATTTCAAGAGTAGGACCGTGGACGTGGTACATTCCCAGACGTTTATCGAGGGATGTGCTTCACTTGTCTCTTTGACGAGATCGTAGCTTGGTGCGGCGAATGGCAAAACCCACTGATGACCCCGACTATGATGCCGGCAAAACGTTTAAGAATGTATCAAGTCCACTGTAAAATGCTGGGAATCATGACAACTACTATGGCAGACGACTTCGGACTACGTGCGTTCTACATAGTCTCCATAGATCAAGACCAAGTTGCGACAACGAGGTCAACCCACTTCTATCAATCGAAAGGAGACTGCGACCATACCAGAGGCCACTACATCTTGGTATTCATATCTTCAAGTCCTATTTTACGTTCAACGGCCGAATCTATAGGTAAATATTTGGTCTGCTTATGGGCTTACCAGCCTCGGCTCTGTTAGTGTTTTCATGGACAAGTTCGAAAATTTCAAAAATGTCGCCCCAGCAGCCAACAATAATTATGCCATATTTGGATGACTACTTTGCAAGTTAGTCACATGAAAGAGAAAGATCAGACGATTTCCTGATCTTCATAAACGAAATGGATGAAAAAGTCAAATTGACCATGGATGGGGAAGAGAACGGACATTTATCTTTCTTGCATATGGAGGTTATTCGCTCCAAGGAAGCGTTCAGGCAACGACTTTTCCTAAAGAAATCGCTTACTGGAATAACTTTTAACGTCCAGTCTGACCATGCGTAAGGAATGAAGATCGGAATACTTCGGA